TCGAGTGAGAGATTGGAACATGTGCGGATGGATGGCTTTGGAGACTCGTGGAGCATGTGGGGGTGGATGGCAGTAAGGGGTCATTGGGAGCAGGTCTGGCGACCCAGGGAAGATTCTGGGAGACCCTGGGGGCTGCAGAAGCCTGTAGGCAAGAGGGGAGGCCGCCGGGCTGTGCAGGGGGAGGGTGCGGCCCCTGGGGAAGAGGCGCCCTGCTGGGCTGTGCCGAAGCCCAGGTTCCCCCCGCAGAGGTCAGAGAGGCTTTCTCCCCTTCCAAGTCAGGGGAAGGGACGCGGTGGAAACCCAGAGGACGGTGGGCTTCATTCGGGCCGGCCTCTCAGAGGGGAAGACTGGTTCCTCCTGGATCAATCTCTCAGCTCTTGGCGTCAGAGCTCACCTACCCCTTCCCCAGCCGACTAAGGAGCTGACGCGTGGGGAGGGGGTGTGCTCGGCCACGCTCTGACCCCGTCTTAGGCACCATCCCTGGGCTCCCCGGCCACGGGAGAGGTGGGGACGGCCCAGCTGAGGCTCTGTCGTCAGAGGTGCCTGAATAAGAAGTGAGAGGAGGAAGTGGAAGGCCAGTGCTGGCGTCTGAGGAGCCGGTAACCCCCACAGGGTGGCAAGCACCACATCAGCCGCTACACGGAGGCCAAGGCCCGGGAGGGCTGTGCCTGTGTGAGCCTCTACAGCTCACACTCACTGATCATGGGCCATGTGCTGTGCACGCCGTGCTGCGTGTGCTTTACATACACAGATTCACTCCCTGGTTCTCATGACAACCCTGTGAAACAGGTATCATTATCATCCCTCACAGACGAGGAATGAGGCCAGGGGGGCTCAGGAACTTGCTCTAGGCTGCTTAGTGGCAGAGCTGAGATTCAAACCCTGACAGCCTGATCCCAGAGCCGGCAATCTCCCACGATATGATGCTGTCATCTTCAGTTCTTCATTCTCTCTGCATTTGAGCCCTGCTCCATGCCAGGTCCTGGCTGGGCTCTGGGGTTACAGAGGCTCTTGGGCTGGTAGGGAGTGGTACCTATACAAGTGCTGTGTTAGACACCTGGCCTGAGGAGGACAGAGGGACAAGTGGCCACATCCCCCTGGGGCAGCCTGTCTCCTGTTTATCTCATTCAGGGTCTGTCAGTCTCCTTGCTTCCTTGTCTCCTTGACTTTCTGTGTCTGCCTCTTCCCCACTCCCAGGCCCCCGGGCCCCGGGCCCCCGGCCCTGCAGGAGGTGTGGGTGGGAGGGGGTACGTCTCTGCCCCTCAGTGATTACACAAGTCCAGATGGCAGGATGCCTGTTGGGTGGGGGGCAGGGGTGGAGTGGGGACTGCCAGGAGCGAAGAGCTAACTCCCATAGTGCCTTCATCTTCCACCTCCCACTTCTCCCCTTGGCACCTCCAAGTGGCCATCAGCTGAGGGGGTGAGGGGGTGTCGGTGGGGAAACATGGGACTCTATTGTGAAGCATTAGCACAGATGGACCCCTGGACCGTCTGCTGCCTGCTCCTGACAGACGGCATCTGTGCTGGGGGTGGGCTGGGGGTGGGGAGGCGAGCGCAGGCTGGAGCGGCAATGGTTTCTATTCTCTATATTCCTGTGCTTCTCCCTGAAGAGACCTGCGAGAGGGCATCTGGTACAACCCTTCCGGGAAGGACCACCATCCTACCGATCCCAGGGGCTACCTAACCGACACCTCCCTGCCCGAGACCTGGAGAAGCGGCCGCTGTGGGTAGCACAGCAGCTGGGTGGACAGCCCTGCTCAGACATTCCTCCTTCAGGCCGAGGTGGAGGCAGACTCCCCTCAGTGCGCAGGTCAGTCTGCCTCCCTGCCTCCCGGTGAGAGGCCACCCCCAGAGAAGGTCACCCAGGCTCCTCCTCCCGCCAGGCAGAGAGCCCCGGAGAACCCTGGAGAAGGGGGGGCACGGGAGATGCAATTCTGTCGGGGCCATTGCACGATTTCCCCAAACCCAGGAACGTCAGAGCTGGAAAGGGCCTTATGGTCCGGAAGGGATACCATGTGGTGAAAGCCCTCGTCTAACAGAGGAGGCAAACGGAGGCCCAGAGGGTGGCAGAACAGATGCTATGACCACGGGATCCCGGGGCTCTTGACCCAGGGGCTGTTTAATTCCGTTGCTGGTAGCTCCCCTGAGAGCCCAGAGACCTGTGCCTGCTTGCTCCCACCTCCACACACCCCCATCCCCACCCGCTCCAGTTTCTCCAGGGAAGGATACCACACCATGGGGTGGTGATGCCCTCTGGTGGTCGCGAGTCTCTTGGTGGAAAATCTTCAAATCAGACTGAAAGGCTGGTGCCAGGACTCCACCTGGAATCCCAGCTGGTTTTGTGGATCCCCCACAACTCTCCCACCCCAGAGGGTCTGTGTTCCCCTGAGGAGCCCAGCTCCACTTTAGCCACTGAGTTTGGAATCTCAGACCGGTCGCAGAGAGGAAGCTGTGTTTTGATCTCAGCCAGCGCTGCCCTGCTGCAGGTGAAATTCATCAGAAGGCAGACCGCTGGGGGGCCGCCTGGGTGCTGTAACCTCCCCGCTGTGACCTCCGCCAGACGGTACATGAGGCCCTTAGCCTTTGCCTTTTCCAAGCCTCCACGACTGCCTCCTCAGCCCGAGCCTCTGGTCTAGCATCTGTTCTCCTCATCCCATGTCCTGCAGCTCCTTAAAGCTTGGGGGAGCGTGCTGCACACTGCCCGCACCTCATACCAGGACACATCGCCCCCCTTTCTCCTCTCTGGGAAGCCTCCTTGTAAAAGCCCCATTGCTCCGACTCCTCAGACATCTGCACTCAATCTGCACTTTATGCCCAAGGGCAAGTCCCTGCCTTTCAGAACGAGCTCCCCAAGTCTGGCTTCCTTTTGCCCCCGCTGCCCTAGCTCCCAGCTCTGAGGGTAGGGCTTGGCTTGTGCTGGGGGCACAGACAGCAGGGGCTCAGCTCATGGACAAGGCCAAGGTAAGACCCCCTTCTCTTCGGCACAAGCCCTTGCCCAGACTCTCAACAGCCCCCATGGCGGAAGTGGGAGAGCTGGATCTCACCCCCAGCGACCTGCGCAAGCTCCAGGGAAGTTGGGGCACTGGGGGCGAGAGCTCCAGAAGCTCAGGCCCCTGTGGAGTCTCACTCAGTGGCAGGACTGGAAGGGACGACCAGTCTGCCCCTGGGGCTCCTCTCTGGGTATTGCCGCTGCTCCCAAGCAGGGGGGTGGGAGGGCGAGGGCCTGGGACTCAGCTGGCTCTCTGGTCAGGAATGAGGGGCTGGGCCCCCAGTTGCATGACACTGAGGGAGGCATGGAC